ATCATAGTTAAGTCTAAAATATAATAACAGGTTATCTTACTATTACGTTAAATAGGCCATTATAAATATTACCTTATTGCGTTTTAGAGCCCGTACTAACGTTACGAAAACTCGATTATCGCTTAAAGCCGAATAGAGGTCACGCCATTTTGAAAATAATAATTAATAAAGTAAAACCTTCGTTATACGGGGTAATGACGGGGAAGGGGGGTCCTCGGAAAATCGAATACCCTGGATAATGGAATTTATTTTGTTGATGCGTTAATTAAGGTCGAATCGAAAAACGATCATCGCATTATCATTGAGAAACTGATTCGATTCCAAAAATACGCCCAACACCCAACAACAAGCTTCGAAAGCGGGGAGGTTTTCTAGAAGAGGTCACTGATAGATAATTTTAACGTGTTTAGGTTTATTCTTATTTTGCGTACCAAAAATAGGTTTGGTTAAAATAAATAAGACATTTAAAAAGTAGAAAAAGTTTATTACCTAATTGTTAAAAAAAACAATTATTGAGTAAAGGAAAAAAAGTAAAAAAAAATTTTTTTTGTCCCCATTAAAACAGCTAGAATTACCATCCCTGGCATGAATCACGTATGTTAAACGTCTTTGCATTCCCTGGAAAAGATTTCTGGTAGAATCCTGAGGAATTATTTCACATTATTCAAGAACGGTTTTCAACTCTTCTAGGGGGTTGGGAACTGGGTATCGCCGTCGTACTCGTCGCTTATGTTCATCCCAAATTTGTTCGATTGGGTTCAAATCTATTCTAGCTTGCACACAAACATTCAATTCCAACTTCATCCACTATAAGCGCTCTATGGGGCCTGAAATTACCCCTGCATTACAAAAATCTCTCAACGATGCGGGGGCAAATGGCACTACTGTTCTAATTTATGACTTGTAAGTACCTCTTTGAAGTTAGAGATCTTCCTCGCACAAGAACCGATTCGGTGTGCTTCCAAGGAGATACCATCCCAGATCATCATCCACCGTAGCCATTTTCGGAGCTGTGGTAAGAAGAGGTCCACGGGTGCCGGGCCCTGAGGTTATTTTCTTTGCGCCTTTTAAGCCATTAACTTTAGTAGTCTAATTCACCATATTAATTATTAGTATTATTCTTTTTATGTAAGGTCTTGGTTAAAATGAAAAAGCTAATTTCAATAAGTTAATCTTTATGTAAGATATTGGTTGAAATGAATAAGTTAGTTTCACGAGCGGGATTCGAACCCACGACCTTCGGCTCAATACGCCGCTGCTACATCCATTTGAGCTATCGTGACTTGGATTCCCGCGCACACCACTTCCCATCTCAACCTACAACTGTTCCAATTGAAAAATGGCAAAAGAGGGAAAATTGGAATGGTTGTTGGTTGAGACGGGAAGTTGGTGTCCGAAGGGATCGAAGCCACGATAGGTCAAGTGGTTGGAGAAGCGGCGTATTGAGCCGAAGGTCTGGGTTCGAATCCCGCTCGTGACACTAGCTTTTTCATCTCAACCTAAAACCTTAGATGAAAAGAATAATTAATACGGTAATTTTGGACACTAAATAAATATGGATTAATTTATCACATGTTAATAATTATAAAAAAGAATTGCCTTCTTTTAAATACGTACTCGCGTGAAATTATTCTTGGTTGTAAATGGACACAAAAGTTCACAAATTAACGTACGACATATTTCAAATAAAAATAAAGGCCGTTGTAGACAATTATGTCAACCCCGGCACCTTCTTAATTACACGATACAGCCCGGTGTGGTACGTTGGAGAATTAATTCGAGCTCAGCTCCCCATGGCCCACCCGGTTGAAATTAAATCGCGCTTATCACGCTTTAATAAATGACTTCCTTTACATTTAGTTTATTGCCCCTTCCCCGAAATTCATCAATCGAGCGGGATTGAAATCCCGGTTGTCAGGTATGCGCCGAAAGCCCCGCAAATGCGGAATTCGAAGGCTTCTCGCTTCGGGGAAGAAAGGGGTCGGGGTGCCCCCTTTATCAACCGACGACTCCCAAACTAAAACGCCTAGACAATGAATTCTAATTGATAGCATCCGGAGGACGGGGATGAACACTCGGCTAGGGCGGAGACTCGGTCCATTCTACGAGCCCAGAAATCTCACAACGCGTGGCAGAAAGACAGAAAGAGAAATGTGTTTGCTAGACATGACGAAAACTAACTGATCGAGGTGGGATAAAAATGGTCGTGAGACCTTGGTTTTCGAGTAGATTGGGTCGTTCAGCCCAATCCATCCTTACAATCTCCCCTCTTCGGTTTTCAGGGAACCTCCTATCAGCCTATTATGTAATTCCAGTTCTCCGTCTTCATAGAACAACATTTTTCTCCATTTAGCGGAGAAACATGGCATAAAAAGAAATTTATCAACTGATCAAGTGTTATGTTTAATCTCAATTGAACAACAATATCCGTCTTAGAAGAGTAACGTTTATTTAGGTTAAAAGATCTACCCTGCCAGGATTTTAATATACCATTCTGGTTTCCTGACCTGAAGTCTGCTTTGTTTGTTGGATCTCTTGCGGAAAACTTTTTTATGCAAAAGTATACTACAGATGATCATTGTCGATTAACCCAGCCACACAATGTCGTAATGACTCATCCGCTTTTAATTTGACAATCTTCTCAAGTGTAACGGGAATAATGTATTATCTCACTGCATTTGCTGTCTAGTCAATCAACCTCCACAATCAAAAAGCCAAATATGTCGTGCAATGAGGGATATTTGTATTCAAACGTACCGAGTTGTTACGTGGACACGTTTAGCCTTCCAAGGATAACACTAATCTTAACATAACAAAGCTGTACAGATAATATTGTTGATTCCCATTCAGATTGGAAAATTCGTTAGTTCGTTATTCACATGCGCGGAAGGGCGATAGGAATTATTTCAGATAAATAAGTCGATAAATTGTCGATATTTTGTTACGGAATGTTAACTAATCTAAACGGATAATTTCAATCTTTCATCGCTGCTACCCTCATTGTAAAGAATTTGTTCTATAATAAGTTTCAAATATTTCTGTGAAAATACTCAATGGGAGCAGTGGCAGCATATCGTAGTGAAACCTTTATCATCGTTTGATCAATATTGATCTTGATTAATCCCCCTGTCCGTGTTTTCGTCTGATTCCTTTCTGCTTCAATCTTCGAGAGGATTTATCGGAGGTATAGTTTCCTGCATGAACTATATAATTTCTAATTCAGCAATTTTAAGAACTCTTATTCAATTTGGCGGTACCGGGTAAACAACGGGTGACTCATGCAAAATGGGATGGCGTCATCATAGGAACACGCCTTCATAGGATCTCCCCTTGCATTTTGACATGAAGTTTTTTCACAATTTACCATCATAAACAAAACTTGTCAGTAATTAATGTAATTTCTAATAATTATATTGTCTAGAGCAGTGGTTCTCAATCACTGTGCCGGGGCACTTTTGTGTGTCGCGAAATTCTTAGTGTGCCGTCAAATTTTATGTAAGGAAGGCAATTTGGAAACGTTTGAGTTAGCCCCAAAAGATTTTGATAAAACTATTCATAAAATTGTTATTGACCATTTGACAACATAGAGGAGAGAATTATTCATTATTTCTCAAATTTAGATATAAAAAAATTTGATTGGGTTCGTAATCCATTTGTGATAACGAATAACTCTGTATTTGAATGGAGATTTCGCTTTCTAATAATCCAGATTTAATTTTAAAATATTCGGAAGAATCAATTAATTCATTTTTGATTAACATGAGATGCGATTATCCCATGATAGCCGAAAAAGGTTTAAAAATATTATTACAATTTTCTTCATCTTATTTGTGTGAATTCGGATTTTCAGTATTAAATCAACATAAAAAAGATAAAAGATCGAGTGTTAAATGTAGAAGACGATATGAGAGTAGCATTGTCGTTTTTACGACCAAATATAAATGATATTATCAAAAAACATCAATCTCAAATTTCTCATTAAAAGTTTTCTTATTATTAACTTCTAATAAACGTAATGTTGTTTTTGTAGTACATATTATTTTATTTTACATTCAAAATTATTATCATAAACTATTTTACATCGTGTAAGGAAACAACTTTTAAACTTATCTTTTTATTTGTGTGCCGACAAATTTTGAAATCGTTAATTAAAGTGTGCCCTGACATAAAAAGGTTGAATATCACTGATCTAGAGATTGTGAGGTGCGGTCTGTTGTGATTTATTTTTTGGTATGTGGTTTTAAAAAGTATTTTCTTTATCGTGCCACCGTTCGATCTTTATACAATGGTAGACATTTTATTCTTAATTAAATCCTTTTACCTTAAAGAAGCCGACTCTTCATAGAAAAATGGATTTCTATCTCTACTTTCTTCCCCACTCCTTCAAAATCCAACGAATAAAAAAACAAAACAAAAAAAACATATCTCACTGTACTCTCAACACAACACACGTTACTGATACATCTACACAGATAACACACTTTGAGCGAGTACAAATATTTTGATTAAACCTAAAATTTCTATCATTGTGTAAATTCATTTTCACATCTTATACATGTATTTGTATAATTTAAAAAAGGTTTATAAATCCCAGGTCATGAAGATGATCTCAGTAAAGATCGAAACGTTGGCACGACAAAGAAAATGTTTTTCTGAAGCCTACATCACACCAGACCGCATCTCACGATTTCCGAATAATCATTAAAGCTATGGCTTTTTTGTGCCAGGCCATTTTAGCACAACCCATGCGACAATTTTTTTTCAACCTACATCATACCTGATCGCATCTCACGATCTCTAAATACGATCACTACGTACTACACAAAATAATTATATTATTGCCTATGCACTATTTTAATTGGCGATATATAATACGTATAAAGATAATTTTATATTAAAAATTGAAAAAATTTGCTCTTTGCCACAGCATTTATTATTTTAGCATGTTTCAATCAACCATTTAACATATGTACTTATAAAGCAATTGTTTGCATTTCCAGATCGCACCGTCGGCCAAGAAGCTGTGGGGGGTTGAGGAGCCTAAAGACGAACCGAAAGGAATATTACTGAACGAACACCAGATGTGGAGAGATTCGACCTGGAGCACATCAGGTAAGAAACCTTTGATATCTGTACAATTTGCACGAATTACAGCCGAACCTTTTGATGTCGGGTGTTTCCTTCTACAAGTAACAAGGGAATTGCGCGTGGATTCTGTCAGGCTCTAAGTTAATAAGGAGTTTTGTTATGGGGTCGTTACTGTCGTCTGCCCGTAGGAATTTCGTTTTCCAATTGGCCGGCATGGATCAGCTTTAAAAACGCCCTCTTTAGAAAATCGCCGAGGCTCGACGGACCCTGCCTCGTTGCATGGCCGACAACTGATAAATTGCCTTTCTATATATACCGGGTCTAGGGTAACATTGCGGCATAAACTTTGTTGACACGCAGTTTGAAATCATGTACAATTATTTCCCAGAATACAATATCTTAGTAGATATGTTTAAAAAAAACTTATTACATAGTCTGGTTAAACTGAAATAATTTTAAATAGATTAGGTTTTGTGGTCCGACTGACTAAATAAATTATTTTCAATTAATTAATCTTTAAGTAACGTATTGGTTGAAATAAAACGAAAAATGGCAAAAAAAGGAGGGATAATTCAAAAGGTGGGGTTTAGATGGGAAGTTGGTGTCCGAGTGGACACCAGTCACGATAGCTCAAGTGGTAGAGCAGCGGCGTATTTAGCACGAAGGTCGTGGGTTCGAATCCCGCTCGTGACACTGACTTTTTATCTCAACCAATACCTTATTTAAAGATTAATTAATTGAAAATAATTTTAAATGTTAAGTGAGATTAATCGACATATTAAAACTATTTTGCTTTAAACTGAAGGCCTTTTATATGAAAATGTTTCATAAAGTTTGTCGAAAAAAGCTAAATCCCCCCTCCCAAACAGTTTTACTTTTTATTACGAAGTAGCGAATAACGAAATCGTCTTTTTTGACAGACATGGTTGTAGGTTCGATTTCCAGTGTAGCCCTTGGAATTTTTTAAAAACCCATCGTTGCTTTCAACAACGGTGCATAGATATGACAATTTAAAAAAAATATTAACCATATATTATTTTAAAAAAGTCATTAGTGGATTGGAATCAACCATATATATGAAATTTTATCGCAACATTCTGTCAAATTAAAAAAAAAAATTATATATATAAGATCCTTCGCAATAGTAGAAATTATCGTGTGGGCTATTCGCTTAGATAGGGATGAGAGTTTAAATCCCCACTTGTGAAACAGTGAAGAGAGTTTGGCGCGAGATCAAGAGTAATCCTCGACTCGCCCAAACTTGTGTATATTGGCTCCTTCTGTATAATTTGCTATCAAATACCTTTAAGGTACGCCTCGGATGAACCGTTAACAAAGTCTCGCTTGAGATTGGACCTAGGTTTCGTGTCATTTAATCAATTCTTTCGTCACATTTTAAATTTTCAGTTTTATAAATAGATGTACACATTTAGCAGCCAATAACCGCGGTTATTCTCGGATTCTTATAACTAAATTTACTCTCTTAACTCTACCGCTTTAAATATTTTTTTTTCATGAAGTATTAAAGCGACATTAAAAACATAAGAGGGCGTAGTCCGTTTATATGGAAGGTTGTACAATTCAACTGCGAATTGCTCTGAAGGGTCATGTCTGCAGGATTCTGCTGATTTTTTTTTTTTTTTTTTGTTCGGAGATGTTCTGCGTTATCGAAAATCAGTCGTTCTTATCGTTGTCTAAGGCGTGTCCTTATACATTTGTCGTATACATCCCGTAGAAGTATGCAGGGCTTATTATTCCATGGCATTATTCTCTAATTTGGATTTCTTACGGTTTAAGTTGTTGTGATAGTGACAAATGGCTGTGGCGTTGAAATTAACATTTAATATGGAAAGTAGAATGAATACAAAAGACTCGGGGTATAAAAAAAACAAGGACGCGGTGATTGAGAATAAGGAAGATCAATTCGTAACGCGTACTAAACTGTGACGAATAACGCCATTAAACGGGGAGCAGATTGCCCTCAGTCAGAAGAGTATTTTTCTTCTGAGATATTTTATTGAGGTCTGCGGGTGGGTAAAACGTCGTCACCGGCCACCATAAAAAGTACACAACTGAGTAATAACACAAATCCATTACGGAAGTGTTACGAATAAACTAACAAGAGACTAGAATGATCTAAGGCGACCTGACTCCCTATATTTTTTGCCGGGGGAAACATATTATAATGTTATTTATGGTAAGATGTGAGTAAATATATGGTAGCAAGTTTTCGACCAGCATCTATCTGGTCTGCGTTTCGTTATTTCGCTTCACCATTCTGTAGAATTTTTATAACTCGATTGTAACCAATAACGCAAAATGGATTGTCATTGGAGTTGACTTGGTAATGGGATCGTAGCTTTTAGTATCCAAAACGATTTGCTTCCTCTTATTTCACCCTTCGGTCCAAGCTAAATTTTCTAATAAGTGGTGTGTCGCGTATAAATGTATCTATACCGCTGTAGAAGATATTGATCACAAGCCGTCCCGATATCGAACTTGTAACCATCTTGGGGGGAGGTGCGATTATCCCGGATTTCCGAACACATGCCTTAAGATACTTGTGGCGCCGAAGCGACGGTGTTTTTATTTAAATCCCGGCACGTTTTACATTCCAAAATACTGGTAGCCAATGATTCTGCTCGACCAGTTCAAGTTGCGAAGGCATATGTCAAATAAAACCCGTACACGTCTCGAACATATGCCTAACAAACAATCTGTGAATAAACTAGACGAAAAATCTATTCGACATTACACATATTGTCTGATAAACAGTGACCGGATTTTTATGCAGTAAAGATTGCCAAAGTATATCATAAAATATGCAGTTGAAAGCCCTGAAATATGCAATGATTGCAGTAGACCAGTTTTTTTACTATCAGAGTAACTTTAAACAGAAATATTGATAATTAAACGAAATAGATATTAAAACTCTTTAAAACTAAAAATAATTAAAATTCACAAGATTTTAGAGATTTCCCCCAACTACATGTTATTGGAACTCTCGATTTACCGGTGTTTTTGGAAAAAAAAGTCCATTTGTAAGTATGTCGGGTTCGAATGCAGGGCCGTTGGATTCGAACCAGGCACCTTTACCTTACAGTGATGAGCGCTCTGTCAACGCCACAACCATTGAGTCCACCGTCGCCCCCTAGAGTTTAAAGTACTAAATTACTTATCTAAATTGTCTTCCGTGAAATTGTGCCTATGGTCACTTAAAATATATTGAATATTGAAATAAACCTAAGAAGGGGTTTTATATTCTTTTGTCGGTATTGCTAGAATCTTCTCTTCCCGTCGTTGCGGCCTGTTTCACTTTCCTTCAAATTAAACCAACTTTTAGTCAACTTGTTATTTGTTTTACAGATTTGTTTATGCTTCCCCCGAAAACCAACATAATATTTTAAATATTTTGCACGATAAATGCGATTTTACGAAAAAATCCTTCAAATATACAATATAGTTCAAATATGCAATTTTAAGCGATATTCGTAAAATAAGAAAAAATATGCTTATAAAATTTAACCTAGATACTTCATTCGGATAGATAATTGATTTCCTCGGACGTATGTGGTGGCGGCAAACAAAATATTCAACTGCATAAAAATCCGGTCTCTAGTTATAAACTAATCCATATTTAAATTGTTTAAATATATCTACATGTATTATGTTCCAATTTTCTTTGTTGTGGGTTCGTTTTCATTAGAACAGAAAATTGCTTGTATGTGAACAAACTGAACTAAACTTTTATAATGTTATTCAATCAAGTGTGGTTTTAGTCCTGTCACTTGGTTTTTGGTTGTTTCATTATTGATATACTCTATTGAGTATACGCGTCAGTTTGAATCTTGTAATTTCTACCGGGAGTTCGTCCGATCGGCGCTTATGATTACAATTTTCCCGGAAGGGATCCCGACACGTTATAAATCGGAGGAATAGAATGTGAAATGTCAAGGGGCGAAAAGGGGGAAGGAAAAAAGGGGGCCCTTATATAATTGAGGTGTGTCGTTCCACGTGCAGGGCATGGTATAAATAGAGCTGGTGGGGAGACAAGCTGCTGTAGATCTCCCGAGTACTGCCACCCACTCGGAGAAAGTTAGGTATCGCTTACCAATTTACCAATCATTCTCAACGAGGCACGCGTGAAAAAAAAAAGTCCCGCAGCCTATTTTTCTTTGTTAAAAGGTATAGTGTGAATAAAACAAAGTGATGTAATTAAAACGCAGAAGGTTTGTGCAGCGATTACAGAATTATGTTTTGAAGGGCATAACGGCGTTACCATAAAAAATTACAGACACGAAAGTTTCAGACCATACAATAAGTATAGTAAATTATAGATTAAATACCCTAATTAAATGATGATCTGTAGGTTTTTCGTCATTGACTGCAATTTGCTTCCCTTTGCCATGCCCCGTCAATTTTATATATGTACTGTTATATGTATTTAAAAACCTTAAATTTTATTAGTAATAGGGATGCACGATGGTATGGTAATGACACTAGGAAGCGGGGTTTGTGCTCCCCAGGCACTGCAGCCTTCTGGCATATTGTACCTTCCTAGTTACTTAGTTCAGTGCAATAGACTCTATCCTTCTCCTCAGAAGTGTCAGGTCATTGACTGTAGCTGCTATAATTTGATTCCCTAATTTTTTTCGTATTTTAGGTTAAATCTCCATTGAGCTTCGTATTCGAAGATGATATGAGTGGCTGTTTCCTCCTCCTCATTACATAATATGCAGATGGGATCATCGTTGTATATGCCCATGTTGTGTAGATATTTTCTCAGATGCCAGTGACCGGTTAGTCCACTCCTCCGAGTACTCTCCAATTGCAGCAGAGATTTTGCCAGTCTGGTGAGGGTTGTTTCATCATAAGTTTACAGTGTGTAGCGCCGCTACAGTTTATCCACTTCTCCTTTTGTTTTGTTTAGATCCATTCTGCGATGGAGGATTCTATATTTGTTTTTGTTATCCCAAGTATAGGTTCTGGATGTATTATGGTCTTGCAGATCCTCCTCTGGCCAG